ATGTGTGTGTGTGTGCTGTGTGTGTGTGTGTATGCGTGTATGCGTGTATGCGTGTATGTATGCATGTGTGCGTGCATGTGTGCGTGTGTGTGTGTGTGCTGTGTGCTGTGAACGGACATATCGCGATCATCAAGTGCCCCCTCCCTCCCCACTTTGCCTGCCAGCACTCACTGAGAACGAACACGGCGGTTTGCTGTGCTGCGTGTGCTATGTTTGCTTTTTTTGTGAAACGATTCGCTGTGGATTGTAGACGCTGGAGCTACTGGAGCGGGTACAGGCCAAGTATGGGCGGCAGGTTGTGCGCTATCGTCCAATGACAGCGCAAACGCGGGAAGAGTTTGAGGATCTCTACGGAGAAGGTTAGTCGGGCCTGTGTCCTGTTGCGCACATGGTCTGTAGTCTGGTGCAAGTTCGTGTGTGGTGTTCTTGCATGCACGCTTGCTTGCAAGTATGGTTTGTTTCTCGTTTTATCATCTGTGAGGATGTGTTTCTCCACTGTCACCTGGTGTCGTGTTGCGTCATGATGTCTCTGCCGTGCATGCAAGCATAACAACACAGGCACAGCGCGAGCATAACGCACCTGCAATGCCAGCATGCTGCTCACAAATGCCTGCACGTGACCACCACCACCACCACCACTGCCATCATCACCATCACTGCCACCACTGCCATCATCACCATCACTACCATCACTGCCATCACCACCACCTCCATCGTCATCATCACAGAGCTGTGGCAGCGCGACCCGGAGCTGTATCAGTACATGACCAAAGTGGAGCCGACGGGGCGGGCGCTGCGCGATTACGGCGTCAACGTGTGGATCACGGGTCGCCGCCGGTCCCAGGGGGCGGTGCGATCACAGCTGCACGTGGTCGAGCGCACCAAGGACGGCCGCTTCAAGGTCAACCCAATGGCGTTCTGGCCCTTTGAGACGGTGCAGGCGTACATACGCGAGCACAACGTGCCGTACAACGCGCTGCTTGACCAGGGGTACAAGTCCATTGGGGACGTGCACTCGACAGTTCCTGTTGGCAGCGATGCACCGGAGCGATCGGGCCGGTGGTCCGGCGACTACAGGACCGAGTGCGGCATGCACACGATGCTGGAGACGATGGGGTGCGACGACCAGGCGGGCAGCACCACCAGCACCGCAACCAGCAGCGGCATTGTGTCGGCATTCTCGTCCATGCTCTCGCTCGCAGAGCACAACAGCTCTCCACCGCCACAACAACAACAGCAGCAGCAGCAGCAGCATCATGACAGTGATGGTGGTGATGGCGATGATGGCGGTGTTGAATTGCATGTGGGCAAGAGTGCAATGGGTACGGGAGTGCAACAGGCAGCTGTGCACGCGCAGGGTAGCATGGCAAGCAAGGTTGGCGGTGCTGGGCGGGGAGCAAGTGCTGCCGATGGTGATGGGACCCAGGCAGACGCGGGTGCACGGCAGGAGGCGGCTGCAATCTCAGACTAGCAGCGGCAGCAGCAACTTTGGGAGGGGGGAGGGGGAGAGGGTGTTGTTGATGGGTGATTGGGTGATTGGATGAAGGGTGTTGTTGGTGGGTGAGGAAGTGCGCTTGTTCAAGTTTGGTGCGTTGCTTGGGGTGTAAGTTGTAAACACACACGTTTGTTGCTGATTAGCAGTGCTACATTCGTGCTCTTTTGCTTCTTTGTTGACTTTGCTTGCTTGCTCGTGTGCGTGTTCATCAATATTGTGCGAGATGATGCAATATGCATGGTCTTGTTGGCTTGGAAATGAACCTTACACACACATCGCTTGGCTGCACGCGCGCGCGTGTTTGTTTGTTTGTTTGTGTGTGTGTGTGTGTGTGTGTGTGTGTGGAAATGTGGTGGCTGGTATGGCAAGAGTTGACGAGGAGGGAGATGGTCGAGACGCGGTGTGGAAAACGAGGCGCCGTTTATTCACATGCACACGGTTCAGTTCAGCACAGATACCCACACACACACACACACACACACACACACACACACACACACACACACGGACAGCACTCACTTCACCACCACCATCTCCACTATGGGCGCTGCGCCTTGGATCAAAGCCAGCAGCCGCGCTGGCCGGGGCATTGGAGAGCGGTCACTTGGTCCACGACACCTTGGGGATGTCGTGGTGTTCTGTCATCGTGTCCAGCTTCTTGTTAAGCTCCTGTTGTTATTGCAGTATGTGCGCGGGAAACAACAGTGTGAACAAGCGGAGTGGACGTCAAAGGCAAGGACATGCAGCAGCAACTCGAGCGTGCGTGCATGCGTTCACATGGGAACATGTGCAAAGCAATTATGGCTTGAGCACGCACCTGAACTTTTTCCTTGTGTGTCTTCATGGCCTTTTCCCGAATCCGCGCAGCCTCCTGTCAACACGTGAGACAAAGCAGTGGGGTTGGGTTTCATGAGCTGGACGCAGGCAGGCGACAGGCAGGAGTATCCAAGCAGATGCAGCACTGAACCCTAGCTCAAAATTACATCACATACGTGCGCCAGTATGGACCAGTCACACGCCCATTCACTCACAGTGAAAACCACACTCACTTACACACAGAGGCACACAAACACACAACATACATACACACACATACAGCATACACACACACGCAGACACAGACACAGACACAGACACACCCCTGCGTTTTATTTGCAACGCACCCGCTTTGCTTGTTCTTTGGCAAACGCCCGCTCTGCTGGTGTCATGCCATCATCCTCCTTTTCCGCATGCTCGTCCTGGAAAGCAGGAGGACGTTCAAGTGGTCAGGGCCACGCAGAGCTACGAACCAAAAACAGGCGCTCGTACACCGCATTGTCGCGTCATCACCCGTTCACACTCACGTTCACACACACCCACCCACACACACCCACACACCCACACCCACACCCACACCCACACCCACACCCACACCCACACCCACACACACACACACACACACACACACACACACACACACACACACACACACACACACTTACTCACGCACACACTCACGCACCCACCCACACACACACACACACACCGCTTCTTGTCGCACGGTGTCCTTGAGAGCAGCATCCTCCTTCTTGCTATGCTTGTGTTTGTGCTTGTGCTTCTTCTTCTTCTTCTTTGACTTCCTGCCACGCCACAAGCCAGCCAAGTAACGCATGTCGTACGCACATACATATTGTGAGTGAGTTGCACAACCGTTGGGTGTATTTGTATGCGCAATCTTTGCCATTCCTCCACCCTCTTCCACTTGCTGTTGGCCCCCTCTCCCTCGCATGCCATCTCACTTCCTACGCCAGTGTGAGGCACAGAAGGAAGAACCAAACGCTGAGAGAGAGAGAGACACACACACACACATGCTTGTTGGACTCACTTGAGGCTGAGGGAGCCACCAACGTGTGCGTACGCGTCGTCGTCCATGATCGTCTTTGGGGGTGCGTGAAGTTGGGACAAATGGTGAACATCTTCCATTAATTATCTTGCAAAGGAGCAGCGTTCGCGAGCGAGGATGGTCGTGCTTGGCGAGAAGGTGTGTGCGTGTTGTGGTGGTGATGGTGGCGGCAAGAAGCTCTTGCGGTGTGCTGGCTGCCGGTCGGTGTGGTATTGCGGCCAGGCCTGTCAGAAGAAGCACTGGGCCAAGCATAGGGACGAGTGTCGCAAGCAGCAGGCGGAGCGGAAGAAGGCATCCAGTCACGCAGCACAACAACAAGTAGCGCCGCAACAGCGGAGGCAAGCACCACCGACCGCATCACAACGGCCACAAGATCAGCAGCCGATGCCACAGTCTGCACTACGGGCTGCGTCGCGGACTGCGTCATGCTCCAACCCGAAGAATGAAAAGAAGAAGAAGGGGAAACAACCGCAGGCACAGAGGAGGTTGCCGGCAGAACTGGCGAAGAAAGTGAAGCCCCCGCCAGTGCCCAAGTGCGCAGCGTCCATATTTCGGCATCACCACGTCATCAAGGCGTACCGACCAGCGTCTCCGTCAACTGGAGGCACACGGCCATCGCCCCAGCAACAACAACAACAGCAACACCACCAGCAGCAGCAGCCAGTGTTCAATGTACTCATTCTGTTGCATGATGGGGAAGGGACTGAGCAGGAGATGGCCACGCTGGCCGCGCGCATGCAGCTGTCCCATTTCCACTGCATCTCCGTCGCTGCTGACAGCCTTCAAGACGATCCGCTGCAGCCAACAGAATCTCACCCACAGGACAGCCGCGAGCCCTTGTTGTTTGTGGATGACGGCCCGTGGTTTGGAACCCGCCAGCAGCAGCCAGGAAAGGTGACAGTTCTGCAGTCGTGCACACAGCGTTTGCTGCGCCTGGTGGACAGCCTGGTTACTCAAGGCTACAGCCCAAAGGGTATCTTTCTCCTGGGCATTGGGCAGGGTGGCATGGCGGCGTGCCAGTGTGCCCTGTCTCTTGTGCGGCAACACCTGCACAATGGCACACGCGGCAGCGACGCTCCAAAGCAGACAACGGAAAACGATGGTGGTGGTGACGGCAGCGCCGTTGGAGTGCGGAAGGTGTTGGGAGGGGTGGTCGTGGTGAATGGACCTTGCTTGCATCCACTTATCGCGCACGCCAGAGTTGATGGCAGCGACAAGCCCACTACAGCATCGTCATCATCGTCGTCGTTGGCGATGTGCGGCTCGCTTGCTCCTCCCATATTGGTGACGCACGCAAAGCCAGACCCGCACCTGCCGGCTGCGCGGGTGGTGCGGGACGTGCATGCGCTTAGGCAGCAGTGGGGCGCAGACGTGACGCTTACGGAGACGCCAGAGGCAGCGGTGCTGTCGCCGACGGCAATGCGGGCCATCTTCGGCTTCCTTGGGCAGCACATGCGCACGGTGTTGCAGCACCTGGCAGACGCGGGGGAGCTTGTGCACGTCGCATCTTGATCAAGTGTGGGAGAAGGACAAGAGGGGAGAAGGTGTGTGTGTGTGTGTGTGTGTGTGTGTGTGTGTGTGTGTGTGTGTGTGTGTGTGTGTGTGTGTGTGTGTGTTTGGACCGGGGAGGGGGGTGTAGGTGGTCGTAATAATGCCACGACCATCAGTAAACAACCAAGTGACCCAAGAAAGAGGAGGAGGGGCGAGCGGAGGACTTTCATTCATCTTTGTTCCAGCAATCACAACACATCTCACAACAACAGCCAACATACAACATGGCGTCTGATGTGGCGCGGGTTTCCAGAAGGCTGCAGGCAGCCAAGGAGGTAGGTGTGTGTGTGTGTGTGTGTGTGTGTGTGTGTGTGTGTGTGTGTGTGTGTGTGTGTGTGTGTGTGTGTGTGTGTGTGTGTGTGTGTGTGTGTGCGTGCGTGCGTGCGTGTGTCGCTCGCTTGCTCATGGGTTGTGAGGTGACAGGACAACGTGCTGGACTTGAAGGAATGCAACCTCAAGTCAATCCCTCAGGCCATCTTCCTCGTCCTTCGGGCTGTCAGTTGGCTTGTCGAGGAAGGGTGACGTGGGAGAGTGGAGCCATCGCGCCAATGCCGTGTGCCGTCTGTGCTTGGGTGTGTGGTGTCTGCGAGGTGTATATTCGCTCATACATGTGTGTGCGTATGCCTGTGTGCAATCAATCTTGCATGTCTGATGCACGCTTGTGCCTTGACGCGTGTGCTGGCGAACACTCAGGAGCTGGACACGATCAAGGCCATTGATCTCTCGAACAACGTGTTGCAGAAGGTGTCGCCGAAGCTGGAGCTCTTCACGGGCGTCGAGCGTGAGTTCATCTCGAGGATACATGTTGTCTTGCGTGCCTGCACTTGGAAGAATGCACCCACGCCACTCTCGCCATCTCTCCTCGCACACACACACGTACACACACATACACACACATACACACACACATACACACACACACACACACATACATACACATACACACACACACGCACACCCGCACACACACAACACCACGCAGGGTTGGTGCTGTCTGGCAACCCGATCAGCAACTGGGACTTCTTGTCGTTGGTACCTACAGTCACGGAGCTCGTCCTCGACACGTGCCAACTCGAGCAGCTGCCACCGCAGGTGTATGGGCTGACCAAGCTGCGGCGCCTCAGCCTCCAGGGCAACACCATCACAGAGCTTGATGTGGAGCGCACGCGGGCGTGGGAGAAGTTGGAGCACTTGGACGTCACGGGCAACCCGCTTGCGCCCGCCGTTGTTGTTGAGCTGCAGACCAGGCCTTTCTCCTTGGCATTGTAGCAGCTTTGTGGTGTGCATGCGTGCGTGTGTGTGTGTGTGTGTGTGTGTCCGTGCGTGTGTGTATGCTTGCGATGTATCGACTAACTAGAGCGTGTATATCGATCGATCAAGGTGAACCTGTGGCCAACCCACAGTGAACTATAACCAGGGCGCATGCCCACAAACAGACAGACAGACAGACAGACAGACAGACAGACAGACACACACACACACACACACACACACACACACACACACACACACACACAGAGGTGCGATTAGAAGACGAATGGCTCGTACACCATGCTGGCGGGACACGCTGGCAGGGACACGTTAGCACTCGGGGAACAAAGCTTCACAGTACTGGCGACGGTGCCGTTGATGTGTGCTGTGACCAAGTCGCCACCTGTTGTGAGCAGCACGACCTTTGCCTGGTCGGACAGCAGCGCCATGGCAGTGCCACCGTGCGCAACGGTGACGGGCGACGAGAGTGTGATGCGCGTGATGCTTGGCGCCATGGATATCGGGTCGAACGCGCCCAGGGCGTGTGTCTGCGCCGCTGGTTGTGCGGTCTGCAGCTGTGCAGCGTTCCGCGAGGGCGGGGGCACGAGCACGCCATACACGAACGAAGATGGCTGGTATTGCAACCCCGTAAGCAGCTGCTGTGGCGCAAACGGGAGCGTGCGGGCACAGGACCCGTTGGTGAGGTAGCACTCCACCAGGCCCTGCTCAAGCTGCACCCAGAGTGACCCGGTTGCCGTGACAAAGGTGGTGGCCGGGTGCTTGGCCGGACCGCCGAGCCCGATGGCCGCCAAGCTCTCGTTCACAAGCACGCGCGTCTGGCGCGTGGTTGCCAAGGTGTAGTTAAACAGGACGACAGAGAGGCGCGGGTCTGCGGTGTGCTTGCCGGTGACTGCCGTCACAATGGCGTCCCACCCGCTGTTGACGCTCACTGTGTGCTCGCACGCGTCCATGCCGGGGTCAAACAAGTCCGGCAGCTGTTGTGTTGTGCGGATCGTGGCGTCTGCAAGCAGCATGCCAATCAGCGTCCATGGCTGCGCTGCGTCGGGGGTGCTGCTGTCGTTCCTGGACACGGGCTTCGCCAGGGCAAAGTACCACTTGCCGGTGCGGTCCACGTCCGATGGCGTGCAGTCTGCCACGTGCCAGCCTTTGCTCTGCAGCGAAGGCCCGACCTTCTCCACCGTGCCCGTCCGCCAGTCCACGCGCTGCAGCTGCCCACTGCCACCTTCCATCGCGTACAGCCCTTGCAGCGATCCCACCACCACACGCGGACACGACACGCTGACCACCAACACCACCAACGCCACCGCCACCGCCACCCGCCTCGTCATTCCGTCCACCACCATCGTCAGCATCATCTCACTTCGTTGTCGTGGTCACCGCCAACACCCACTGACACACACTCAACCAACCCTTGCACAACCACCACCGCTTGCTTGCTTGCTTGCTTGTTTGCTTGTTCGCTTGTGTTGTGTGTGCGTGTTTTGTTGCACGTGTGCTTTTCCTTTGTGAAAGGCTCAACCTCAACTGCTTCCCTCCTCCACTCTCTGTCTCCCCTTCTTCGTCTCACTCTCTCCTCGTCTCGCTTCGCTCAACCCCTCGACTGGCCTTCAAAGATGGTGAGCAGCTGCCTTGGTGTCTTTGTGGATGCGTGCTGGCTTGCTTGGCTGCCGTCCAAACGCGTTCGTGCGTGTGGAATCGCACTCCGTCACATCGCACCCTCACATGACCCCATACGCACTCTCTGAATACACTCTCTTGCTCTGCACCCTGCCGCTTCCACAGTCTGACGCCAAGCGCACGGTGAGGCTCCTCTCCTCTGCATTGTGTGTGTGTGTGTGTGTGTGTGTGTGTGTGTGTGTGTGTGTGTGTGTGTGTGTGTGTGTGTGTGTGTGTGTGTGGTGCCACATTTCATTCGTTGCATGTTTGGGCTGATCACTGGCTCATGCACTCGTGCACTCATGCACTCGTGCACTCGCGCTCTTGATTTGCTAGGCCTCCGGCAACGATGCCACCAACGGTGCCAACCCTGCAAAGCGGTATGAAGCTACGTGTGCTGTGTGTGTTTGTGCATATGGATATGTGGTGACTTGGCGCTTGCTTGCATCCTTGCTCGTGTTTGTTTCCTGCATTGAACAGGAGACAGGTTGCTTTGGTCTGCAGTGCTCGTCAAACTCACAATCGAAATGCCCTCCCCCTTCCTCTCCCTCCTCTCCCTCCTCTCCGTCCCCCCCCAAACGTCTGTACCCTGACTCTTCTAATATGTGGCCTCCATGGCGCCATGTCGTGTACAGCCCTTTCATTCGTGTAAGTCCCTTCCTCATCTCACTTGTTAGTGTCTGCCAAACAACGTGCTGTTGTCGCGCTTGGAACATATGCAGATGGTATTACGGCTTCCACGCTAACTTCTCGGGTGCGCCTTGTGTCTTCCATCGCAGGTGCCGGATGAGTCCGCTGCCTACTCGCTGGACAGCTTCTGCATCCCTGCCCACTACAAGAACGATCTTGAGGAGATTGTTCTTCCCCACGGCATCGTCCAGGACCGGTTCGTCACCCGCGTGGTGCAGTGGTCATGTGTGTGTGTGTGTCTGTGTGTGTCTGTGTGTCTGTGTGTGTGTGTGTGTGTGTGTGTGGTCGGTGGGGCAGTGCTGCCATTGGAGTGAGTTGCATATTGGTGCACACGTATGTCAGTTCGCTCTTTCGCTGGCGTGTAGCACAACGTCATGTGGTCACTGACTTGCCTGCGTGTGGTGTGCAACGTGCGCAGCATCCAGCGCATGGCTCGCGACATTGTTGAGGACCACCAGCACCAGCCTCTCGTGTGCCTGTGCGTCCTCAAGGTGAGCAGCTGCTTCTTCACACACGCATGTTTTTGCGTTGCATGTGGTTGTTGAATGCACACGCTATTCGCTGCCTGCATGCATGACCTGATGGTGGCTGAGCTGTGTGCTTGGATTGCCTTGGCGCATGTGCTTCCCTTGCGCCGCAGCGAAATGAAATCACCTCCTCACCAAACCAAACAACGCATGCACACCTTTATGCACCACCACCACCACCACCACCACCACCACCACCACCATTCCCATAACCAGGGCGGGCATCAGTTCTTCTCGGACCTCTTCAACGAGATCAAGAAGCTGAACGTGAGTGCGGAGTCGTCTGTGCCGCTGCGTGTGGACTTTATCCGCTGCAAGTCGTACGAGAACGACGAGTCATCGGGCAAGGTCCAGGTCATTGGCGGCGACAGCCTCGACTCCCTCAAGGGCGAAAACGTCCTCATCGTCGAGGTAGGCGTGTATGCTCTGTGTGTGTGTGTGTGTGTGTGTGTGTGTGTGTGTGTGTGTGTGTGTGTGTGTGTGTGTGTGTGTGTGTGTGTGTGTGAACCTGTTTCAGCCACACTGCCTTTCGCTTCCTTCGCGTATTGTGTGATCCATTTCCGCCTCGTCCACTTCTCACGCCACCCTTGTGCCCCACCTCGCACCTCTTGTCACTGACCAGGACATGATTGACACGGGTCGCACAATGGTGAAGCTTGTCTCCACCCTCAACGACTACGCCCCCAAGTCTCTTCGCGTGGCAAGGTACACAACGCGCATACACATCTTTTCTGCAATCGATCACTGTGTGTGTGCGCGCGCGTGTCATGGTCTGTTTGTTTGTACTCACCAACACCCAATTCATACACATACACCCCAATGCACCACGCATGCACACGTGTTCACAGCCTCTTCTTGAAGCGTACGGAGCGCAGCAACGGCTTCAAGCCAGAATGTGCGTGTCCTTCTCTTGCGCATCGTGTGTGTATGCGCGCGTGTGTGCGTGCGTGTGCGTGTCCAGCTCGAGTGCGACTTGTGTACTTCATTTTGGTTCGTGGCTGAATTGCACACACACACACACACACACACACACACACACACACACACACACACACACACACACACACACACACACACACACACACACACACACACACACACACAAACATACCTATTTCACCTTCCCGTTGATGGCCTTGCCGCAGATGTTGGGTTTGAGGTGCCGGACAAGTTCCTCGTTGGCTACGCCCTCGACTACAACGAGTACTTCCGTGATCTCGACGTGAGTGCCGATGATGACGGTGCCCATGATTCGTGCGCGCTTGAGCCAAGTTCCGCCACAACAACAGCAACATTCACACTCATTCACACAGACAAATGTACGCACGCACACGCACACGCACACACACACACACACATTCACATTCATGCACGCCACAGCACGCCGACTCACACCACTTCTTTGCTTCTTGCTTGCTTTCGTTTGTTTCGGGACAGCACGTTGCTGTGCTCAACGATGCGGCCAAGGCCAAATACCACCAGTAATCACATGCAGCCATGCATCCCCATCATGGCACCTCGCCAGTGGTGGTTTGAGCAGCTGCCCCCTGATTGATTTTTCTTTGCCTTGTTTGTTGTGTGGGGTCAACAATATCGCTGCTCTTTCTGTTCCCTTGCTTTTTTTTTTTCTTCTCACGTGATACTTGAACTCTGTGTTTTGTGCTGACGGCGATGGTGTTTCCTTTTCCGCTTCATGTGATGTGATGTGGTGTGCAGTCACTGTCATGACACACACCGTGATGATGAATAAAGATGGTGATGATAAGCTGTATTGTGGTCTTGCGGTGTCACGCCATATATGCTGTGTAATGAATAGCATGAGGTTTTCACGACCACACACATGGTGCGCTCAAGAAAGAAAGGTTGGTAACAGGTTGGACAGGTGCGGTGCCCTTGACATGACGCTTGGCTGAAATCATTGTTTCATTTGCTCGTAAGAGAGGGGTTGTCTTCTCAAGCGGCCTTTTGGCGGCGCAGCTTTGCTTGCCGCTTTCGCTCCTTCGCCTGATTGGCGTTTGAGGTTGGGCCGGGCCAGGATGGGGGGGGGGGAATGAGGATGAGTGAGCAAACATTGTCGCCTGTTGATAGAACAGGAAAAGAGGAGGAGGGGGGCGAGGGAACGCCAGGAGGGCGGGCCAGTTGCACAAGATACCGCCAGCCACAGACACACGCAGACACACAGCCACCCACAACACGACAGAACACTACATCACAAGCACCCACCGCTGCCTTTCTGCGCGCGAGGTCTGCCAACATGGCGGCGCGCCTGTCGGCTTCACTGTCACGGAGCAGCATCGACGCCGTGCGGGCACGCTCCTGTGCAACAACACAATCAACAGATCGATCAACGTCACAATCAAAGCCATGCGGGTGTCATTTGAATGTGAATCACGTGTGTCAATTGAATGCGAATCAACTGCACGGGTGTCCTTGTGAGATCATTCCCCTTCCATCTGCTTGGCTCCACGTCCTTACATCAGTGTCCCCTTCTCCTTTACACACCACCCGCCCCCCCACACCGCCCTCATCATCGCATCTACCGCTTCGTCGTCGTCATCGTCATCCGTCCCTTCAGCGGCGGCCACGTCCTCCTCGCGAAACACGCGCTCGCCCGTTGACGGATGCACGAAGAACCGCCGACGCAGCCGGTCTTGTCGCTCGTCATCTGAACAGTGAGAAAATGGTTGCATTGTGTGTGAGAAGCGTGCTTGTGTGGTGTGGTGTGGTGTGTATTTGTGCGGAGAGTGCTATGCGTGGTTGAATGCAGTCAGGACAACAAATTTGCTTGAGCGCGTAGATAGGTAGATCGCGTACGCACACGTGAAGAGGGCACACCTTCGGAGAGCCCCGCCTCCACCATGGCGAGGATGTAGAGGTGTTGCGGTAGCGCTGTGAGGGCGCCGTGTTTCGTGCCCATGCTTGTCACGGTGTCGCCGGGGGGTTGCATGCCCTGTGTCCGAGTCTTGTACTCCTCGTACGCTTTCGGGTTTGTGCGCGCCATGGCTGCCAGGATTGCGTCATCGTTCGCATTGCTCGAGCCTGCAGGCAACCAGGCATTGTCGAATCGTGAGCAACGCGACGCCAAAGCAACCAACAAGTACCGCGCAACGGGCGAGCAAGCGCGTCATGAGACCATGTCAAGCGAAGACACGGGTGAGGGGGAGGCACAGCGACCATAAAGAGTCTGGAAACAACAGAGCAAGTGGTTGTGTGCGGAGTACAAGGCCCGCGTACGCTCATACGGGCGCCAAGCAGGATGTCAGCCGTTTATACCAGCAGTGTCGTGTGCAGCACTCGTGTTTGTGAAGTGATGCTGTGTGTCGTCAAACACAGCCAGCGGGTTGTCGTCGCTGACTCCAAGCTCAGGAATGGCGGTATCGTGACCATGGGCAGGGTGTGGTACGTTGGGTTCCTCATCCTGCTGCGCCACTTGCAAGTTCGTTTTGACCTCTTGCAGTCGTTGTTGCTTTCGTCGCTCCTTCTCAGCCTTCAGCGCCTCCAGCCGCTGGTCGTGGATATGAGAGCGTAGATTGAGGGACCAAGCACATGTGTGTGAGTGTGTGAGTGTGTGAGTGTGTGAGTGAGTGAGTGAGTGAGTGAGTGAGTGAGTGAGTGAGTGAGTGAGTGAGTGAGTGAGTGGGTGAGTGAGTGAGTGAGTGAGTGAGTGAGTGTGTGTGTGTGTGTGTGTGAGAGAGTGAGTGAGAGAGAGTGTGTGTGAGTGAGAGAGTGAGTGAGAGAGAGTGAGAGAGAGAGAGTGAGTGAGTGAGTGAGAGAGTGAGTGAGTGAGTGAGTGTGTGTGTGTGTGTGAGTGTGTGTGTGTGTGTGAGTGCATTGTAGAGTGCGCACGCGTGCGTCAGTGTTAAAGAGGCGAGCAGTTCGCCAGCAAGTGGCCAGACCACCACAGCGTGGAGGCGTTGTGTCTGACAGTGGAGCACTTACCGAGACTGCTGTTGATGAGGACGAGCTCGTTGTGGCCTTGCTCGCCACCGGAGCCGCACCACTGCTCAAGCACACACAGCAAGGCTGAATATCAGAATGTACCAGTGACAATCCAGTGTGCGCGCACAAGCATCGTGAAGACCACACACACACACACTCTCTCTCTCTCTCTCTCATACACACACACACACACACACACACACAAAACGTACATGTTGAGTTCACGCTGGCTGACGTCGCGGCGACTTGAAGCCGTACGCCCAAAAATCCTCTGCATGACTTCGGGTGGCACCTCTGGCTTTGCAGCGCGCTGCTGTGGCTGGTGTGGCTCTTGTCGCCCCTGTTGTGTCTGTTCCGCGTGTTGTTGTTGCTGTCCTTGTACTTCAACAGGCTGCGTCTCGGCCGCAACTGGCTTTGAGTCCTCACTGCTCGCGTCCTGAGCCGGCCCTTGCGCCAACGGCTGCGATGTGGCGGCAGCAGCAACGGCCGCTTCCTCATGTGGCGCCTTGGCCGCCTCTTCCCCGCCCACAGTTTGCTCCTGCTGTTGCTGCGGTTCTTGCTGCTGCTCTTGTGCTTTCTTCCGAGAGCTGCGGCGGCGCGACGATCGCGCAAACGAGCGGAGACTGAACAGTTTGCGCTTTGGCTTGTACACTTCTGCGGATGCGCTCTTTCCTTCGTCCGAGCGTTCTGTGTGCTCATCAGCTGTTGCGACATCGTTTGCAGCAGCAGCTTGTGCGACATCCGCGTCGTTGTCTTCGCCAAACCCTTCGATGTCTTCCAAGGCAGCCACATCGGGAGCTGTGACTGGGGTACTTTCCTTGGTCCCTGTCGCGGGTTGTTGTTGTTGCTGTTGCTGTTGTGACTGTTGCTGCTGTTGTGGCTGTTGTTGTTGCTGTGTGGTGGTGAAGTGGCTCCAACGTCGAAGCACAGGTGCTTTGTTGATGTCAAGCTCCGGCTCATGTGTTGTCGCGCCAAAGCCAAACACCTCGTGATCAGAGCTTCTTCGTCGCTGTGCCTGCGACTGCGGGGCCGCTTGTGCCGTCGATGGCTGTGTCTGCTGCTCCGCTTGTGGCTGTGCCTGCGCTTCTGGTCGAGTGGCTGTTGTTGCGCTGGGTTGTGATGCCGCTACACGCGCTGGCGGCGGCGGAGGGGGAGGTGGGGGTGTGGTAGACACATCACTCGGCTGGATAGAGGGCTGCGTGGTCGGCGCCGCTTGTGCGGTGCTTGCTGCGGGCTGCTTGGAGGCCGCGGCTGCACTTGGCACAGAGGCAGGGAGAGCGCTGTGGGCAAGCAGAGGCTGCGGAGCAGCGCCGAGGAACCCGGCTGTGCCGCGTTGGTGTGCTGTGCGCCGCATGCGCCTGTCAACGAGCTCCGTCAAAATGCGGTCAATCTCCTGCGCAGATGCGTCCACCAGGGATTGAATGGCAGGGTCCACAGCTGGGGACTTGTTGCTTCGATCTTCCAACTGTTTCTGCAACTTGGACAGCTGTCGTGACAGAGAGTAGGAGAAGGCGGGGTGTTGGGGGGTTGGGGGGTTGGCAGGCAAGTGCGAGGCAAACGAATGCAATGCGTGTGAGGACTCTAGATTATGTATTCAGCCACTCAAACATTCAATGGCAGGACGAAACAGCAACAGGACAGCACGTCACACATCACACCAGACCACCAAAACGTTACCAAGAAGCAAGACCACGCGACTTTGACTGACAAGCGTTGCTTGCAAGCAACCAAAGAAGAGAAGCATGGATGATGTTAAGCAGCAGCTTGCTTGCTTGCTTGCTTGCACGCACCTTTCGCTTCAGTTGCCGGTTCTCCTTGGCTGCTGCTGCCGCTGCAGCATCAGCTGGACTGCGCTTGCTGCTCCGTCTCCGCATCATGGTGCTTGCTTGGTGCGGGAGGCAGCGGTTTGAGGGTTGGTGGGGAGGAGGAGGATTGGAAGGAGGAGGTGGGGCGTATTTTGTTTTGGTTGCTTCTTGTTCTTGTGGGCT